TATTTTTAACCGAGGATTATTTTTTTAATTTTCTTTATTTTCCCTTATTATTTACTCTACACTTTCTACTCTCTAATTCTACGTTCGCTGGTAGGAAACCGGCGGAGAGAGGGTGACAATAATTGCAGAGGTTTAATTCACATCAATGAAGCGTTTTTAAAAATCTAATTTTAGACGGAATTAAATGATCTTAAATCGTTATTTATTGATTAAAAAAATATTACTTTTGGGGTATTAATTTCATTGTTGGTTAAGATAAAAATACAAATGTTCTATGATTCTTCTTCTAATTTAATACGATTTGAAAAAATAAATCAACAAAATACTGCTGTTTTGCGCGTTTTAAGAAACATTCATATGCAAATTAGGTCAGAAAATGGTCAAAACTTGGATTTGAACTCATTGTCGTGATTCTAGCATTATAAAACACTTATATACCGACGTTCGCAGAAATCGGTGTAAATAAATTATTGACTAATAATTTGGATGATCTTCTGCGTCGCTGACATTCCTAGTGCTAGTTCTAACATCATTTTTCTGAATACCTAGGAAACCGATTTTAAACAAATTGTCAAATCCATTTCATATCTGCATGAAACATTAAAATGGACTATTATTTCTATTAAAAAAAGGTTAATTTCTGACAAAAATAGTTTCTTATTTTATGTATTTTCTCTTAGAAAGCTTTTATTTATTTTTATGGTACATACGTCGTTAAAAAGCTATAGTTTTCATCTTTCAAATGGTCTGTTTGGCATTACAATCCTTTTATCCGTTTTTAAATTTTAGCCGTTTCAGTCAGATATAAAGATAATGAAATTTTTTGGAGTCAAAAAATCGATAAATTTAAATTAAAACAAAAATTTATATTTAAGATTCTCTGTAGGTGCTAAAACGAAATCTCACATTAGTTGAGTTAATTTACTCGAAAATATTTGGTTTTTAGCATTTTTTTATTATTGTTAAACTTTGACAGCTTTTACTATATTTTTATAGCAATCTACATTAAAAAATACTGTAAAATGATATATTCACATAGTTAATTTGAGCAATAGAAGGGCAAAATAGAAATATTAAAACAGACGCTACAAAACAAAATAGTGCTAGGATCACTGCAATGAGGCGAAATCCAGGTTTTGCTACCATTTTCTGACCTATTTTGCTTCAGAATGTTTTAATATCCAATATGCAAAAAAGCTAGATTTTGTTGATTTATTTAAATCATACCCAATTAGAATATTACGAGTCTTATTCTTAGGACATTTTTATTTTTACGTTACTCACGTTAATACACAAAAAATAATATTTTTTTAATCTCTAAATAACGATTTATGATCATTTAATTATACTTGAAATTAAATTTTGAACAACGAGGTTAATTTATAACAAATAATTTTACTAATTTGTATATTATCTTATGGAAGCTACCATTTCTTTCAAATGGTCTGTTTAAATTGAAATCCTTTTAGCCATTTCAATCAGATATTATATTAACAAAATTTTTGGGTGTCGTCGAGTACGCTGAGACTACGTCTACGGAGTCCCTCGAATGCGTATGGGTACGGTGAAGTGCAACTTATAACCTATCCCGTTCCAGCGGCCTTTCGCCTACTCGTGGCGCCACTGTTAGGGTCTCTTAGGAGGCTGAACCAAAAGAGGACCGCAGCCTTCTCGTTTCGTGGCTGTAGGTTGGCGAGGAAGTTGCCTTTTGGAGGATCTCAATGAGATGCCGCCGAAGGGGGGGGTAGATTGTCCTGGCAGAGTTTTTAATGTGGTAACGAGCAGGTGCGATGCATGTGAGGCAAGCGCATATCGAAAAATCGTTATACCTTTTTCTCAATCCAATTCCTGAGACTGTGCAACGGGTGCTCCTAGGAGACTCCAGTAGACCCTTCCCAACCCTTGTTTAAGGGGGCTTTCCAGGTACAAAATAATGGTGCAGCCTTGAGAACGTGACGAACTCGCAAAGCACAAGCTGGCTCGGGTTTCCTGGCGCGCATGGTCGCTTTAAGCAGCCTCTGCATGCATTTGGAAGACAGGACCAAGGAAGCGTATAGCGTGCGAGGATGATGAGACTACACTAACCTAGTCCCTCGAGATGCGTTAAGGGAGTGGCTGACATGAGAGCTGGCCGCGAACGGCGGGTGCTGTAGCAGAGGCACACGCGGGTTAGGGTACCAGATCCTGTATAAATATATATTTTTAATGTATATACGGATGGGGGAGGGTGCATAACCATCTGTACTGCTCGGCAGCGTATTTTCGTTCCAAGTACAAGCCCAGCTGCATGGGTAAGTACTCGCAGTGGCTGAGTGGTGAGACCCCTGGCGGGTACCTAGAGAAGAGGCTGTGTTTCATACGTGGCCGTGGACCGTAGTACTTGCACATGACCTCCGAATTACCTCCCGACCTCGTGGAAATCAGATGGATCGGGTTGCCGGAAAGCGTATAGCCAGTGAGTAGCTATGACTAGCTGCCGGCGACCCTCGAATGCGTGAGGAATTGTGGACGGGGGGCGGGTGCTTGTCGGTGGCGGCCGTCAGAGCTGCCTTTACCGTAGGTATGGTCTCCTCTAGGGGGTGGTTAGAGATTCCACTAAAATCGAAACCGTGGCCGGAGCGTTTTTGGAGGTTTCGACGCTAGCGGAGCCCCTACACCCAGAGAGATAGAGTTGTCGTCTCAATCTAGGGAGTGCGTGGGAGACTTGGCCGATGCATTTCGTATTGTTTCGCATTCGTATGTATCCCTTTAAGCGCGGTACTGGTTAAGTGCACAACGTTAACTCACCCCCTCGGAAGGGCAAGCGGGAGAAGTCGACATGTCGGCAGTTTGCTGTAGGATTATGTGGGCTTCTACACCGACCTCACGGAAGCAGCAGATTTTCCGAGCGCAGGGGTGAGTCGCTCCTTGAGAATCTAAAACGTTTGATAAGGCCAGGTGCGCAAGCTAAAGAACTCAATGTTACATGACACTGCGACCCCAGTGGGAACGTATATCAATACAGTTTTTAAAGAACAATGACTAACTGACCCATAGTGGTCGAAGGCCATTTAATAATAACAAAAAAAGAACAATGAAGAAAAAAAGAAATAGGAAAATATTCATTTTTTAAGTGTAAAGATGCCGAAAATTTTGTACTGTGCATTTTCAGTTAGGGCCGTAATCAAGTATTTTCTACACCATTTTTGGAATAAAAAAATCGATAAATTTAAATTAAAACAAAAATTTATATTTAAGATTCTCTGCAGGTGTTAAAATTAAATCTCATTTTAGTTGAGTTACTTAATTTAGTTGAAAAATATTTGGTTTTTAGAAATTTTTTGGTTATTGATCAACTTTGATTGCTTTAACTATATTTTTATTGCAATATACATAAAGAAATGAGATATTTACATAATTGATTTGAGCAATAGAACGGTAAAATAAAAATATTTCAATAAAAGGACTTTACAAAATAACGCTAAAATCACTGCGATGAAGTAACACCAAAAATAATGTTTTTTAAATATCTAAATAACGATTTATGATCATTTAATTATGCCTGAAATCAGAGTTTGAAAAATGAGGTTAATTTATGACAAATAATTTGTATATTTTCTTATAGAAGCTACGGCCCTTTTCTTTCAAATGTTCTGTTTGACGTTGTAATCAGATATGAGAACAAAAATTTTTTTTTTTGGGGGGTCAAAAAATCGATAAATTTAAATTCAAACAAAAATATATATTTAAGGTGCTCTAGAGGTGCTAAAACGAAATCTCATACTGGTTTTACGTACTTAATTTACTTGAAAAGGTTTGGTTTGTAAACATTTTTTGATTATTGATAAACTTTGATTGCTTTTATTATATTTTTATTGCAATCTACTTAATAAAAATAAAAAACGTTGATTATTCAGAAATCGTGAGATGCGGTCTGGTGTGATGTAGGTTTCAGAAAAACAATTTCTTTATCAGGTCAACGTTTCTATCTTTATTGAGATCATCTTCAGGGACTGGGATTTACAAACATTGTTTAAATTTAACAAATACATGTAGAATGTGGAAAAAAGTGAATTTATACAATGCAAAAAATATATTTTTTATATTCAATCACGTACGTACGCTCTGCGTAGAACGCGCAGAAAACAAACAATTTTTGTGAGTAGAAATACTTTCATTGAATATAAAAAATATATTCTACATTGTATAAATTCTCTTTTTTCCACATCTTACATGTATTTGTTAACTTTAAACAACGTAATTCCCAGACCCTGAAGATGATCTCAATAAAGATCGAAACGTTGGCACGATAAAGAAAATGTTTTTCTGAAACCTACATCACACCAGACCGCATCTCACGATTTCTGAATAATCATCGACTAACGGTCACTAATCACCACACATTATTGATAAATTTGATTCCTTTTATTATATTTTTATTGCAATCTACATAATAAAAATAAACAAACGCTGTAAAATGATAAATTCAGATAGTTAATTTGAGCAATTGAACGACTACAAAATAACGCTAAAATCACTACTATATCAAAATTTTGACCATTTTCTGACCTGCTTTCCTTACATTGTGTTTATTAATATATGCAAAAAGCATGTTTTCTTTTCAAAAATTTTGTCCTGTGCATTTTCAGTTAGGGCCGTAGTCAAATATTTTATGCGCCATTTTCCTTTTGGTTTGAAAATATATTCATTGTCCTCGCCAGCAGGTACTCGGAGTAGAAGTTTCCATGGTGAATTCTGTATCCAACATGGATTAATACAAAATCCTGCTGGGCGAGCTCCAATAATTATTTAGAAAAGAAAATACATTATTAATAAAAGAAATAAGGTACTACCTGTTGTAGAAGGAGGAAGAGTTGTCGATAAAAGAATCTCAGAGGAGAACAAACACTATGTTGATAGTACATAGTGGCGCCAATGATTCAGACTGAACGTTGAACAACATAAAAGCGATAGTCAAAGGTATTGGTTAAAAAAGGATCGATACAAAGCATCGCTGCTTCGATAGTATCGAGGTACTGTTTGTATCCTTATCATGACTTGTCACGTCAACGTTTCTTCGTCATGACCGGCAAGTTCCCCGAGCTGAAGAACGATCGCCTCCTGAGGGCGGCCAGGGGCGAGAAAGTGGACAAAGTGCCCGTCTGGATAATGCGTCAGGCCGGCCGCTACCTCCCGGAGTTCCGCGAGCTCAGGAGCAGACACGACTTCTTCGAGATATGCCGGACTCCGGAGCTCGCCTGCCGGATCACCCTCCAGCCCGTGGAACGCTTCCAGGACTTGGACGCTGCCATAATTTTCTCCGACATACTAGTCGTACCCCAGGCGATGGGCATGACTGTCGAGATGAGGCCTGGCGTGGGACCGGTCCTGCCGGAACCGTTGGCCTGCCCTGATGATATCGACAGACTCACTTATCCGGTAGATGTCACAAAAACACTCGGTTATGTTATGGAAGCGATAACTTTGACAAGAACCAGACTAGAAGGGAGAGTTCCTCTTATAGGATTTTCAGGTGCGCCTTGGACGCTCATGTGCTACATGATTGAAGGTGGAGGGTCGAAAACTATGTCCAAATCCAAAGCATGGCTCTACAAATATCCTAAAGACAGCATGCAGCTTTTAAAAAATCTCACAGACGTTGTTAGTGACTATTTGGTAGAACAGGCGAAATCCGGGGCGCAGCTGTTACAAGTCTTCGAATCTAATGCGGAATACCTAGGCCCTGACCTTTTCGCACAATTCGCCCTCCCTTGTATAAAAGAGATCGCATTAAATGTAAAGCAAGCCCTTAAAAAAGAAAATTTAGACGTTCCGATGACAATATTTGCAAAAGGCGCACACTACGCCCTGAAAGAATTGTCTCAAAGCGGTTATGAAGTTGTCGGTGTAGATTGGACTGTCGATCCAAGGAGGGCGAGAGAGCTCACAGACAATTCAGTCACGCTTCAAGGAAACCTGGATCCTTGCCTCTTATATGCGCCTCAAGACTTCATAAAATCTTCGGCTCAGGAAATGGTGAAAAGATTTGGAATGTCAAAATACATCGCTAATCTCGGACACGGAATATATCCTGACATGGACCCCGAACATGTCGAAACTTTTCTCAAAGCCGTGCATTCAAGTAGTTAGTATTATTTTATATCAACTGGTGGAAGTTAATAATTTTTTAAATATTTTGTCAACTTTTAAGTTGTTTTGTTGAGAAATAAATATTTATTGTACAAACATTATTTTTAAAAATTTCATCTCAATCTCGCCCTTCTATAAAAGACATCACCTCGAATGTATGAACTAAAAAAAAAGTCTCAGAAATAAAAACCTATATTGTGATCCTTACCGATCATTTTGGTCTGTAAGTCTGCATTTTTTTCCATTATACAGCACATATTAGGTCGTTAAACATGTTTTTGTGCATTAACTAATTGGTGATATTAAATTTTCCATTTTAATCCTTATTCAACTCACCAACTGACTGCCTTTCTTCCCATTTTATAAATCTCACTGAAAATGTCGGAAGAAAAAACTCATTTGTGGTGGGAGAAAAAAAAAGTGTGAAGGCAGTGGGCCGAGTAAGGTGAAAATGTCGTGCATCGTAACACTGCAGCGTTTTGGTTCAGGCGGTTCAATTCTGGGAACAACAGCCTTCAAGATAAGCCTAGATCTGGTCATCCTTCAGTGGTGGATGATACTGAATTAGTTGAGTCAGTAAATAAGGACCCATATACGACCACTCGATGATTATCACCCGAATAGGGGGTTTCAAATGCAACCATTTAATAAAGCTTTATGTCCAAAATATACAACCCAAATCAGATCCTCATGACTTTTCAACCGCTCAAGCATGAGTTGATATCTGTAAAAGTTTGTTTCAAAATCCAAAAGATGGTATATTTTGGAAAAGAATTGTAATGAGCAATGAAAAATGGATATTTTTAAAAAATCCTACCCACCAAAAACCGTGTTTACTGCAAGGTGCAGAGGTTTACCAAGATTGATTTGGAAAAAATATTATGCTTTGTGTTTGGTGGAAATATGATGGGTGTGCACTTCGAGCTGATTCCGGTTGGCAGGGCTATTGATGCAGAGCTTTACTATGAACAACTCGAAAAAGTATATGGGGGTTTTAAAAGACAAACGCCCAGCTTTGCTCAATCAGGATAAAGCAATATTTCAGCAAGACAACACTCCTGCCCATCTATCACATTTAGAAAGAAAAGTTTTCAGAAATGAAGGACGTTGGCATCTCGCCCCACCTTCCTTACATCCCTGACATCGTACTGTCCGACTACGGTCTTTTCTAGTCAATGCACATTTATGAAAGGCCTGAACTTTGGAAACTACGAGGATATCAAATTAGGATGTGAAGAGTTCTTCACCTCGAAAACAAGGACTGGTATCACCATCAAATTCAACTTCAGGCAGAAAGATGGGTTCAAGTAGTTGATAAAGATGGCCTATATTTTGAGGAATAATTTTCATGTTTACATTTTATACTGAAATTTAAATAAAATTTAAATTACGCACGACTTTGGTAACGACCTAGTAATACACCGTCTGCCGATATATCTGCACATCTTTGATGGGTTGGTCGGTCAGATGTGTTTCGGCCTTTTTTCTACATGTCTGATAGGCGACCTATATGAGGATAGGCAGGTCAAGATGATCGGTAAGGATTATAAATTCAGCACTCTGAAGACCCACAGGAAAAAAATCTCACAAAAAATGAGTTTGCTTTCTTAGAAACAGAATATATCTGGATATTTCTCAATTGTAATATTTATAAAAATTAATTCGCAATATCAAATTTATATTAGTACTTTTTGCATATACTTACAATTTCTCCTTGATGTTAACAATTTAAAAAATATATATACTGAAATAAAAAAACAAGTTTACTTTATTCATTTGTACTTAGTAAAATTCAATTAAAATAAATTCTTATACTAACTTTGTTTCTTCTTGGGGAGAAAAAAAGGGTAGGGGAAGAATTTGGCCAGGTTTCGGTAACTCGCCGAATGCCTGAAAATGAAAAAAAGAATGCCTGAACACTGCCACTTTATTACAATACAAGGAAAAAGAATTTATTGAAAATTAGTAACACTGCCAGATATTTTTATATATAAATATATACAGATAAAATAATAGACAATTACAGAGATAGATGGTAATTAAACATATTTGTCTATTTCTTGAAGCCTATCACCTCCCAGTCAACATATTTATAAGAGTGGCTTTTTCCTTCTCTTTTTTCCTCACGACGTCCATCGATCTTGATTTCCACGAGCTCTTCCTTAGTTTGATCGGCCTACTTCCAACATACCTCCCTGAAATAAAATACAAACGAATTGAGAAGATGTGAGATTTTTTCGTATAGGGTCTGTGAGGAACACACACAGGAACTACACCAAAGTGTAGTTTGGTAATTGCCAATCATTTTTGCCTGCCTATCTTAAATAGTTTTTAAAAAGATGGGTCGGTTGTAACAACAGGTAGTTATAAATTACAGTGACACAACTAGAGATGTGACTCTGGAACAGCATAAAATCCTTGACTAAACAAGAAAAAAGCTGACAACTCAAAATAGGATGATTTTAAGCTCAATACAGAACTAAGATATGCCACTTTTTGTGAATGGTGAGTGTTTTTCAGCCAATTCAAAAGTGGCACATGGTGCTGCTTAGCAGAGAGTCCACCTACAGTTGTGTCTTTTTTCCTGTAGCATCGCATTCCCGAATACTTATAAAAAGGAAAAAAACACTAAATAATCTGGTTTGTATAATTTTTAGACTTGTGTCATTTTTCTTATGGATGCATAATATAGACTAAGTTAATATTTAAAATATTGTACAATAATGATTACCATTCATTTCTTTTGTAGCTCTGATGAAATCCTGAGGGTCTTTGAAACTCACGAAACCGAAACCTTTTGTTTTATTGGTCCTTTTATCCCTGACAACTCGAGCTTTTAAAAATGATGAGTATTTTGAAAAAGCACGTGTCAGTACTTCATCTGTCACATCATTTCCTAAATCTCCGCAAAAGAGGCGAAAATCATCTAAAAATAATTATTAAATTTGTATTGCTATTAATTATACACAAAATTTAAAAAAAGTTTAAGTTACCATCTTCCCATTCAGCGAGGGTTTGATCTTCCCAGGTTTGACCCCCTGCTGTTCTAATGAGCTTTTTATTCTTCTTTTCTTTTCTTCTAGAAAGATGGTAACTCAACTCGGCAGCCTTTTTGCTCAACTTCTGCATTCTCTTTGCCTCCTCCAGTGTTTCTTGGTTTGGCAAAATTGGATTCACTGGTGTGGGTTCGGTTTCATAAATGGAGAGGTCCATTTGTGGGTTGACGTACATCATCGGTGAACCACTGTCGATCAAATTACATTATAATATAGTTTTTAACAAAAGAAAAAACAACCCGTTACCTTAATACTGCAGGAACGTTTGACGATTTTGGGGAATCGTCGGGAACAGTCACTTGAGGAGGTGGTGGCGGAATGAACCTTGTTTGCGGTATTGAAGGCGTTTGAAAAGTGCTGGCAGTGGTAGCAGTGTAATTTGACTGAATTTGCACCATTGGAGGAACCATTAGACTAAACGTAGGAGGGAGGCCGGCTAAAAGCAAAAACAAATTAGTAACAATTTTCTAAATGTTCAACAAAATAAAAAGTACATGGTGGAATTGGAGGGCCGGGGATTGATCCAACTTGGGGCAGACTACTTCCCCTGTAAACGGATCCATTGTAATCTAGGTTCGGCCTCTGTACATCTATTGCTGTAAAATAATACAAAAACAATTGATAAGGGAATAAATTGTTTAGTGCAGATAAAATGCATTGAAGTCTTGTTAGCAACAGGTCTGACTTCTAACGATTTAAGTGGAATTGGAGGAGACAGGAGGAACCAGGCCAATGGTAAAAAAATTTTTTGGCTTACCTGCAAGTTGTTTTTGAGCGTCGTTGAAAGTGCTGGTGCTTATCACCCTTGGACCAATAGCACCAACTTCAGGTATCGGAAGACCAATTTCTTCCTCAAACCTGAAAATAAAATAAAAACAATACTAAATTATCAAGGTATGTATAATTCTAAATAATATTTTTCAGTTATTTCATCACTCTATTCCACATTATATGACGGTTAGTGCAAAGTATGGAGAATTGTTAAACGATGTAAGGTCTTTTTACTCAACCTTCTGCACCAACAGGTTTGACAGAAAATACACATAGTTCTAAGGGCCAACTAAATTTGTCTAAATGCACCAAACATGTTAAACATAAGAAAGATCTAAGAGATCTAAATTTACGTGATTACATAAAATGATCACTTGGTCAATCATGGTCTATCACACGTCATACTACTACTCTGTCTCAGTTACTTTTCTTCTGTGGTACTTTAATGAGGAATGGCTGGTAAACAGAATTTCAGTCAATTCCTGCTGAGTGATTTTTGTTTTTCAGTTTACAACAGGTAAGAACCACTGAGGGATTTAAATGACAGGCCTTTAGCTACAGCAGTATTTTATATATATTTGTTCACTTTGTCATCATCGCCTATAAAACAATTACATTAATCTGTACAAATTTATTATTAATTGATATTGCCCTAGTTTTGCGCAATATTAAAAGACCCATTTATTGATCAAATAAAAACTGCAGCCATGCCTTCGGCTGATGATGTTCACAAGGTAGCAAAAAGCACAGTAAAACACTCACTCCTGGAACTAAAGACATTTAATTACATCCCTGTATGATAGTTCCATTGAAAACCACCATTATACACCATTTTATTATTATTTTGGGATGCCAGTGTTTAAAAAAAAAAATTGTAAATATATCGGTTTTGAATGCAGGGCCACTGGATTCGAACCTGGAAGCTTTGCGTGATGAGTACCGTGTCAAAACCTAAACCATTGAGGCCACCAATCCACCATTTTTCGTTATTATTGAACTATTTTAATCCAGTGTTATTTTCTTTTCCCTATACATTTGTTGTTACCGCTGAGCATATTCTTATTTCGTGCACAGACTGCTCAAAAACCAAACAGGACACCAAGGTCAATATTTATGGAAAAAAATTAAAGATTAAATTTGCACAAAATATATTAAAAAATTGGGAATAGTAGATACACAAAAAGCCAAAAGATAACCAACTTGGCCACATTTAAATAAGATTGCTCTTTTGAAAATAGTACGTTTTGGGGAAATCTTTCATCTTGGTCTTTGACAAACCTAAAACCATTCCAATCTTTCGAGGCGACGAGTATTTTCGAGAACACAGCAAAATGTTTCCGACAAAATCCAATAAGACCAGTTGTGTAAACAATATCAAAACAACACTGACAAAGCAAAAAAAAAAAAAAAAAAAAAAAAATTGAGAATCACATTAAGAGACAATACGTACAAATTTCTTGAGATGATGTTGATAGATCTGCTACCAGTTACACATGCAGATACGCATGTTTATTAACTAAAAACATGCATACCCCCACTGCTAGCACACCCATCAACATCAACCCAAGAAATTCATAAAACTGACCAAGACATCAAATGAAAATAATATTAACAACAAAATTAAGATATTTGTTCTCATATTAAGTGCTATAACTTGGTTATTTTTTGACCCATTTAAAATCTGATTGCACCATCGTTTCCATTGTAATAAAATCTTTTAAAACAGTGGGTAAAAAAATAAAGTTCTCATTTAAAATTTCAAAGTTGTACTGGCTCTGAAATGTCTTAGCAACAAATATTTTAAAAAAGCAGTACAAATTTAAAATTATAATAAAAACATTAAATACACATTTTTTGTGTTTTCATAGTGTTATCAGTTCAAGAGAAATTCAGGCAGCCCATCTAAAAAGGTCACCCTGCATAAAGCACCTATGCAGCTCTGGACACCCTCCCAATCGCCCAACTTAAATCCTACCTATATAATTATAATTTTTGAAATGATTAGAGTAGTGTAATATAGAAATTAGTCAAAAAATACAAATACAAATGCAACATACAAGTCAAGATGAATTTACAACAGTAAAAATTCATCTACCAAGTAAAAAGTTTGTGATATCTACCACTTTTTGAGTATTTTAGAAAAAATATGTTTATTAGTCGCAATTTTGAAATTAGCTGCCAAATAAAAAACAACACATTGGGTGATAGTGCCACCTTTGTAGGTCTTGGTGTAGGATATCTGTAGCTGATTCGTCCTGATCACCATTTATTTTATAAGTAGCCGAATCCTTGTATGACATGACAACACAAGAAGAAAATCATTACACATGAGAAAGTGAGAATGCCAGACATCTTAAAATAGTTTCTGCACAGTGTCCTTCATTTGAAATTAAATACAATCCGTACTGCTCTCTTTTGAAGAGAAAACACCCTCCTCCAATGGCAGGCCATGGTCAACAAATCAGGGTGTTACTGGAGAAAATCCTTATAGAGTTGGAGCTTGGAATTCAACGGAATATAATCACGGAGTCAAAACAGAAAGTAATATGAAGAGGCAAATTTCTTATACAATATAAATTTGTGGGTTGAGTGTTTTAAATCAGACTGAACATTGAGTCCCAAAAAGCTGTGACATCAACCTCTTCAATCATATTCCCCTTTAAAGTTGGAATAATTTAAAAAGGGTCATAAAAAAGTGGAGAAATCAAACTGCATAGAAAAGACCTAAATGTTAACAAGAGCAAGCACTCGTGGGATCATATTGGAAGACAGCTTAAAAAACATTAGTTTGAAAACAGAAACCATCTAAAAGATATTTTATGGGAGTGAACTAATAGACAAGGGGGAAAATAGTTCTATTGATTAAAAACTTTTTTAGAGGTAATAAAAAGTAGAGATGGACATACAGATTACAGTAATCTCATTATCTGTGCTTTTCGTCTCCGTGCATTCACTTATCTGAGGTTGCATAGTTGAGTTAATATTTTTTAAGCCACTAATAATTTTTTGTGATTTGTTCTGATGTCGTGCATAGGTCCATACCTGTTTTGTACATACGCATATATTGTTTTTCTGTATGGAATAAACTTTATGTATGTTACTGTACATTTTATTTTTCTTATTAAAAAAAATTAAATATGTACATAAGTTCATACATAATATTGGCGATATGCACACAGAAAGTATGTGATTGGTGTGCAGATAGAAGAAAATGCTTTGAAGCCAGAAATTCAAGGTATTTCCTATTATCTGCGGTTCTTGTTCTGATGATGCTTAGTCTGTCCCCCCCCCCAGATGAGACTGAGATAAAATTTAGACAAGTGTCAGTAAATAAACAAATGAATAATAATCTGTTCAAAGACTTTTTTTGTTTAAACACATAACTTTAGCGCCGTTGTTTAATTTCTACGTATTGAATACTAACATTTATATTGTTTTTGTTGTTGATTAAAGTTTAAAGTTGGAGCTGCAACAGTTTAGGCATTGACATGTTGTTCATCACTGCAAGGTAAAGGTCCCAGGTTGGAATCCAGCAGCCCTGCATTCGAACCCGACATAATTACAAATAAGCTTCTTTTTATTTTTATTTTTCAAAAACACCGATACCCTAAAGGTTGATAAGACCTCCGCAAGACATTGTGTTGTTAATCAATTTATCCCATTATTATTTTAATTTAAAGGGAGTGCTTCAATTTTTCAGAGACTGTTTACTGAGTGTATTCTCAGAATGTGACAGTTTTATAGAAAGCATTAATCAATAAGGATGTTCCCATCCCAACATTGACCATCAAAAACCAGCCTATTTCCTAGCCTTTCTTGTAAACCACACATCTCCCAAATTTCCCAATGCTGTATTGCATCTCTCATTCAATTCCGCCGGTCCTGGCTCCTTCTACCTTTCACCACTCATAAACCCCTTGTCTCTTCCCTCCTCTTCGACCACAGCATATGATATGACTAATGAACTGTTTTATTCACCCCCCTCCCATGTAAAAAGTATTGTACCTATAATCAGAGTCTTGGTTGAGAGTGTCTTGAGCGGGATTCAAACCCACGACCTTCCGCTCAATACGCCGTTGCTCTAACCACTTGTAATAACTAACACTATCTGTACGAAGAGATTCGCTTTGTTCCAGAGGATTTTTACACAAAATAAAACACTCACCATGGTATTCATGAGCCGATATTTATCTTGCAAAACTATTATTTAAGAAATAATTTTTCTTAAATATTTTATTTATATAATTTGTACAAGGCCAAGCCAGGTGTCATAGGGTATGGATTTATTACATACTTAATCTTGTAGCAAATTTAAAATTAATTAACAATTAAATTCATAATTTTGTTAATTAATAATTAAAAAACTAATGAGTGCAAGGGCAGGGCTTATAGAATTTTTTCGATAATATGTTTTTGATAAGTTGTTTTTTTAATCTTTTTTTTAACATTTTCTAAATAAGGATTGTTGGGATTTTTACTGTTAACGTGCGTTGACAATATCTATTATTACGCTTATTGTTAGATTTGTACGGTATTGTTTTAACGAAAGATGCTTTGAGCTGCTAATTTATTTATTTAGTTGCTGATGAAGTAATTTACCATTTTAAATATGAGATGTGGTTTTGCAATGAGTTTAACTGTTATTGGTTAGAAAATTCTCTTTGTGGTTATTAGAATTTAGCATTATTTTTACATTTTAATTAATTGTACTTTTTATCTAAGGTCTTGGTTGAGATGAAAAAGCTAGTGTCACCCAAGACCTTCGGCTCAATATGCCTCTGCTCAAACCACTTGAGCTACCATGACTTTGATCCCTCAGACACCAACTCCCCATCTCAAACTACAACCTTTTGAATTTTCCCTCTTTTTGCCATATTTTCGAATGAGGTGAAATCAAGATTCGATTCTTGGTGATTTATGAAGTGGGCATGAGTAGACAGCAAGTATAAGCACTTCTGTGGGGGCCGCGGTAGCCGAGTGGTTAAGGCGTCAGACTCTTGGCTAGTAGATCCCGCGATCGTGGGTTCGATCCCCACCATCGCCTCTGGACTTTTTCTGATGCCCAAGGGGACCGGTGGCCGCAATTGAAAGAAATTGACACGGCACTCATCAATGGAAGGAGCGGGATCAGACCTCAGCGACCCTGAATTTGGTCCCAACCCCCTTCAAAAATGAGTTTCTTTGTTGGAAGAACACCGGCTCACCGGCGGCTCAAATTCACACTTGTGTTGAGAGCCCCCATACAATGGAGCCAGGGATAAAGTACAATAAGCTGTACAGCTGCAGTGCTCAGGGGGAACTCCTCCAGTTCCTGGTATCCATTGTAATAAAAAATAATAATAATAAAAAATAAATAAAATAAAAAAACACTTCTGTGATATTAATCCATATATGTATTTAGTAGTCATAATTGGCAGTCTTAATTATAATAAGTCAAAGTCACGAAAGCTCAAGTATTGAGCTGAAGTGGGTTCGAATCTGGCTTGTGATGCTAGCTTTTCCATCTCAACCAAGACCTTAGATAAAAAGTATAATCAATTAAAATAGTCCACGATATTACTAGATCCTTTTAATACATAAGAAAACTTTCTCAACTTTTAATTTGACAGGTTTTGATTACGATCGCATTCTTTATTACTACTTTTTTTTTTTTTAATGGCTGGCTACCAATATGATTTCACATCAGCCCCTAATTCACTTTGAGGGCCAATGGGGTATTCAATATCCATCAGCTCTCTTCCTTACTCATTCACTCAACAAACAACTATATAACTATACATTCAAATAAACAAATGTATATACAGATGAACACTCTGTGCAGCTACACAATAATAATATATGTTATATGTGGTGATTAGTGACCGTTAGCCAATGATTATTTGGAGATCGTGAGGTGCGGTCTGGTGTGACGTAGGTTTTAGAAAAACATTTTCTTTACCATGCCAATGTTTTGATCTTTGTTGAGATATCTTCAAGGCTCAAAGTATTTGTTTTCTGTGTAAATGTGTCATTCTTGTCTGTCGTGAAAATGTTTCTCTAAAACCTACGTCACATCAGACCGCACCTCACGATCTCCAAATAATCTATATTATATTTACAATATTTACAGATGAGGAAACACCCGTTTCCCTTAAAAATCGAAATAGGGTGCTCAAAACCCATTCCCGTGCCCAAATACTTTAAGCCCGGTGTCATGCCTACTAGGGGCCAAAGCGTAACACTCGCTCAACCAAGTACATCACACTGAGGGCACGGTGGGGTATTTCCCAGTGACTCGAGCGAGATACTCTTGACAACGATAAGCTTCTCGGACGATCCGGCCTATCGACGCTGCCAATATTCCTTATTACCCGTGCAGCATCACAGGGCCGGGTCTTAAATTCTTACTATTCGTACTATTATTTTTAATTTTTTATTAACTATATTTTGTATTGTGTTTTATGTCAATTTATAAACTTTATTGTTATTCTTAGGGGACTCTAGTCCCAGAATGAAAATTTCTCTCTCTCTCTCTCTCTCTCACACACACACACTCTCTCTCTCTCTTTCACACACACACACACTCTCTCTCTCTCTCTCTCTCTCTCTCTCTCTCTCTCTCTCTCTTTCGGATGTAGTGATCGGCAAGCAGTTCATGGTAAAATTGGATCAGGGATATGGTCCCAGGCAAGGTATTTTAAGTACCATTCTCTCAGGGTCTAACATTCTCATGTTTTATTATATTTCTATACACTTCTAGACAAAAAAAGCAACTTAGATACTTTTGTAAGCCCACCCATAGAACTATATCCCTGATCCACTTCTAGAGTTAGAAAGTATATATATACCTGCTCATTTCGTCTTGCATCTTTTTAAATTTGTCTTCGGCAAGCCCGGACATTTCGGCGTCGTTGGACGATCCCTCGTTTTAGAAGAAAACAACGGAATTTAAAAAATCCGTACGACTCGAAATTCTTTGTATAATGGATTCTCCCAAGGGTTACAGTTTTGTTGTGGTTTATAACTATAACCAGTAAAAAGGTTATACCGACATTGCATTTTTTCACACTTATGAAATTTTCTCGTTTAATGTCGTTCCGGTTATTCAATTTAAAGCAAAAAATCCCTTTTAATTGTAAATTTTAAATTAAACGAATCGTAAATTCGAGGTTGGAGGAGATAAAAGAGTCGAAAGACTTTTTCCCCGCGTTCAAGCACGAGTCGGCATCCCGCCGCCTGTTGGCAGCCCTGATTCTACTTACTCTACTATGTTTGAGTCGGGAGCTCGGTTTCTCTGTCTCGATTCTAATGCATTTTTATGATTTCATCCTTGGTTTTCCGTCGGAGAGTTTCGATGTAAAAGCCGGTTTTTCGACCAGGGTTGAGCTTAATTCGCCTTAAAAGTACGAAGGCCGGCTTTTGATTTTCGATCCCCGAGCTTAGGCGTTCGACGAATTCCCTTTGTCATGGATATGACAAGTGCTGAAGGTAAGCTCTTTTATTATTTACTAATCAATTGTTTAATCGACTTTCTTCAATAATAAATACTCTTCTCATTAGCGTTTTCTTCTTTTTTTATAGATGCTTCAAGAACGCTTCCCTCGCGATTTTTGTCGTTGTAAATCTTCCTTTGAAAAAAAAAGCGTTTTTTCTTCCTCATTAATCTTATTTCAATAAAGCATATACCCAAGCTTTTACATTTGTTTTTTGTAGTTTTTAAAAGGCTTTTGTTTATTTCTTTTATCTCTAATATTTGACGAACATATTTAGTTGTACGTATAATCAATTTTCTCTGCAGAAGATGAAAACTCTGTAGGGTAATATTTAAATTATACCTGAATTTCCATACCCTGCAGACACTCAGCACTTAAAGACTGGAGCGGCTATCAAAATAGTTCAGTTACCAAGTTCATCAAAAGCCCGAGAAATATCGTCTCCCGTAAGCCGAATTTCTCGAACATTCCTCGCTACCGTTTTTTTTTCTTTTTCTTTGTTTTAATCCCCTAATAATTAATGGATACATCCCTTTAATTTATTGATGATACAAGCACTTTTTTTCAAAATTAAAATCGACTTTCGGGATTCAGCCACGACTACATCTTTCTTAAGAACACATTCCATTTTTATGGTATTCGTGCAAAAAAGAATGTTGGAGTAGCTTCATGTTTCATCAGTCCCATAATTCTACTGTTCTATTGTTTGGTGGTCAGCAGTATTTTATGGGAAAGGTCTATTTCAAGTAGTATTGTCTCAGGGTCTAGCATTTTCAGGTTTTATTACATTTATATACACTTCTAGAAAAAAAAACCAATAACCTGAATTACTTTTGAAAGCCTACACAAAATGCATAAATATTTTACATTTGAGCTCGAAGAAATAGATTCATGTTTCATCTGTTCAACAGCTCCTATTGTCCAACATGGTGGTCAATCAGTATTTTGCAGACAAGGTCTGTTTAGAGTACCACTTCCCATGGCCTAGCAGTCTAAGGTTTTATCATATTTCTATACACTTCTAGGAAATAAATGCAACCAGGATACTTTTGTAAGCTTACCCAATAGGCATGAGCATTTAACATTTGAACTCCCGGAAACACTACAGCAGATCCATGTTTCATCTGTTCCATATCCTATTGTTAAACATGGTGGTCAGCCTGTATTTTGTAGGCAAGATGAATTTCAAGTTGCATTTCCCATGGTCTAGCACTCCAATTTCTATACACTTTAAGAAAAAATAAATGAGTAAATAACATGAATACTTATGTAAGCTTATTCCAAAAGTGTGTTCTCCACTCTTTCTCAAAAGTTTGTTCCGCACAACATCAAGTTCTACAAAATTTGTAACCAAAAGTGTGTTTGTAAGCTTATTCATGAGCATTTGAACTCCCAGAAACATTGCAGCAGGTTCATGTTCCGTCTGTTCCACAACTCTCTTCTTAAACATGTTGGTCAATCAGTACCTTATATGCAAAGTCACATTGTCGAGCAGTCTAAGGTTTTATCAAATTTCTATACATTAATAGAAGAAAAAACTAGCATGAATACTTTTGTAACAACCCGAAATGTTACAACAGATAAATGTTTCATCTATTCCATATCTTATTGTTAAACATGGTGGTCAGTTAGAATTTTATAGGCTAGGTCTATTTCAAGTTCCATTTCCCATGGTCTACCAGTCTAAAGTTGTATCATATTAATATACATAAATAAAAACTATCATGAATACTTTTGTAACAACCAGAAACATTATAGCAGAATCATGTTTCATAATATATTATATTCCATATCCTATTGTTAAACATGGTGGTCAGTTAGTATTTTGTAGGCTAGGTCTATTTCAAGTACTATTGCCTCACGGTCTAACATTCTCAGGGTTTATTATCTTTCTATTTAAAACCAGGATACTTTTCTAAGCCCACTCAAGATGCATGAGCATTTAACATTTGAACTCCTTGAAATATCGCAGCAGATTCATGTTGCATCTGTTCCACAGCCTACTGTTAGACATGGTGGTCAGTCAGTATTTTATAAGCAAGGTCTGTTTAGTACCATGTCTCATGGTCTAGTCTACTCTAGTGTTATTATATTTATATATGCTTAAAAAGAAATAATAGTCTGGGCGCTTTTTTCCCCCACCACAGAAACATTACAACCGTTTCATGCTTCGGTTTTACAACTCTACTGTTTAACAATGTGGCAACACAGTTTATGGATCCATTATGTCAATATATAATTTAACTTCACATGGTCTAGTTTTCTCGAGTTTTATTACATTTCTATACACTTCTAAAAAGATAGCTTATTATGTATGGATCTCATTCCCTCCACCAATCCTTATCTTTTATCTCTCTGTTTACTATTAACAATTTTCTGTCCCACCATCAATAACCTTGGGATTGTACTTGATCAGACCTTATGTTGGAAATTTCATATTTCTCAGATCTCCTGCTTCTGCTTTTCCACCTTCTCAGTTCTGTCGTGTAAGCCACTTTCTTCCTATTAGTACCCGTGAACTCTTAATTTCATTTCTTATTCTCCCACACTTTGATTATGGATGTGTGGTGTACAGAAGGCTTACTGGGGAGCTGGTTGAAGACTTTATAAATTGTTTTGTACACTTTATTTCAGCACTCCAAAAGGAGTCCTATGTGGCTGATATGTACTTTAGCTTGAAGGGGTTACACCCTTCCTACCAAAGACTCCTTTGCTCTTTCCTCTACCCAACGCTATCTTCCCACTTATATATATGATCTAACCTTTAGGTATTTGGTACACTACCATCACTTCCAGCTTTTCTGATCTCTATCCCAACACAGAACCACTACATTCAATTGTTCTTTCCTCATCCGTTCATCGACCCTCTGGAATTTCCTTCCCAATTATTAATTGACTATTTTATTGGGAATTGTTCCAGGGTCGTTTTCTGTAGTGTCTGATTCTTCAATTTGATTAGCCTTCAATTTCATTTTAGAAAATCTGCATTTAATTAATATTGATGTTAACATATGTGTCTTGATTCGGCAAAATCAGATTATGCTTAATGAATAAAATAGTTCATTTTAGGGTGCATCATCAATGAACGCTTTAATAAACTAATTACCCTAATGTAGTTTGAAATAAATTTCTCCAGAGTGAAACAACTCTTGGGGATTGGATCCAACCTACTTTATTCATAAGCACATCAATCTACCTGAATCTTTAAACATTTTTTTCAATGCTGGGAACTTCACAACTTCATTTTCATTTTTTTTCTTAAATAGCTAAACAGTTTTAATGTTTTATTGTCAAGGTGCGATTCAGTACTCAAAACAACTCAGGTTTTGATTCCTAGTTGTATTTGACAATTTCGTGAATTGAAGGACCTAAGTACTTAATTAGCATATTTTCATTTTATTGACTATCTTTGCTAATATGAGGTGTCAGATCTTTTGGCTCCATCATTGGTACGTCTGTGAACGACAGGTATAGAGAAAAGCTGAAACACCGCTGACAGACCAAAACATGGAAGATCTTTATAATCTTTAATCTTTGTCTAGAGATATATATAAATATTGAACAACATATTATTCATTTATGATGTAAAGATGATTGACCAGCTGTTATACTAAATGCAAAGTTTTTTAAATAAATAAATGGCACTTTTTACAAACTATTATCATGTTTTGATTTTGTCTGTGATAGTAGTTTGTAAAAGGTGCCATTTATTTATTAAAAAATATTGTATTTTAAGAAATAACAAGAAAGAAAAAATATTTTTACATGTTGATAAGAGAAAACAATTTTAAATAACTGACAGAGAATCTAGGCCTGAGGAAGGTGAAATAAAACACCGAAAGCTTGGTGTAGTCAATCCTTTTTCATTGTAAAACAGGGAAGATGTTTGAAGAACCAAAATTTTTGGAAACAGCCATTACAATGTCCATCACCCTTAGACCTAAAGAAGAAATCTCAAAACTTAATTATAGTTTCAGATTACAGAAGAAAATCCAATTTTTTATGTTGAATACAGCTCGTGATTTGGAACCAAAATGGCCCTTTCATAAACGCATTCAATCTGCATAAACCTTTTAATTTTTTTAACCATTAAAGACAAACAATTTTAATTTAATGTTTTATTAAAAAGATATACTTAGAGTTAATACTATCCTCTTATTTACCAAGAATTGGGTATGATGACCTCCCCAGCTGTCCAAATATTTTTTTTATTCTCTTTCCATTTTGGGAGATAAATTTTCAACTCAATCGTTTCTTTTCTTCAATACTTTTATCCTCTTTGCCTTTTTATAATATTTACTTTGGCAAAATTTAGGTATTTCATGAATCACAACCTGGTTGATGTACATCATCAACACCAAACTTTTAAGTAATTTATTACTTGAACATTAATATAACATATACATAAATACAATATACATTATAAAACATAAATAATTAATGGTTATTTTTATGATTATATTATGATGTTATTTTTATAAAATAACAATAACAAATATGATGAGTCACAGTGGTTCAGTTCGAGCAGGGTCCCGTTCCAATGACAGTGGTTTTGAATCCCATGCAAGAAAATTATTGTCATGTTTCTGTAGACAAGGATTCTTAAGTGAAAATTGTTGGGTTTTTCAAAATTTGTAAGTTCAAAATATCCTGGAAGGAATATTTTAGAGACTGTCATTTCCCAACTTTGCACAAGTTGTTCAGAAATTATTATTCAACTTTTTGATATTTTTATTTGTTATTTATGAGTACCAAGTAATAATGAGTACCATTTTTAAAATTATTAAATTCTAGAAAATCCCAGCTAATTTTTAATTCCCTTCTACATCACCCATTTCAACTAGTTAATTGCATTTCTGAATTGAAATTAAAATTACAAAATGTAAATTGGTATTACGAAAATCTCATTTAAACATTACTGTAATTTTAATTTTAAATATTTGGTCTCTACCTCTAATGTAACATTGCAATAATTCGTTGATTCAAACGTTATTAATTTAAAATGTTTACTTTATGTATTGTTTTGGAGACGCCACTAGACAGGACCTGTAAAAAGTAATTATACCAAACTATTTATTGCAAATTTCTCTTGCAGAATAATTAACTTATATGTACTTATTAGCATGTGGTTTAATATTGAAAAATTTACTTCTGACTTGTTTAAAATCATAATTAATAACATAATTCATGCTATCTCCTTTGAATGTAAAACTTTTTTTTTTCTTTTTTTTTTTTTTTTATTGCATTCCATTCATAATTTCGTACCACACTCAGGAAAGTAAAGTATGAATATTCATAATGAACATTGTAAATATCAGAAAAACAATCCCACTTTTTGGGTAGCTATCTTTCAAAATTGTCATATTATTACAATATTTTCTATGTAGAAGTCTTTAGGTTAATTTACAATGCTTATTTCTAATTAATTTTATCCCAAATATTTGTAAGTAATTTAATGTCATGCTTAATTAGAGAAACCCTTTTTATCTTATTTTATTTTATCCTTCTGGATAATTTTGATAATTGATTTGTGCTTATGTTTCTAAAGTTGGCTTCAGTTTTCCCTAACTTTCTTTTTTTGTTTCAAAATTTCAGTTTAAACTTATTTAATCGTTTTGTCGTCTCGGTCCTCAAATTTAGTGGTAATGCAAAAATTGGAACAAGATTGAAAATTACATTAGCTAAAACATTAAATAATAAAATGTTTTTTATTTATTTTAATATGAGAAAATGGTACTCGGTGGCCGCAATGGGTTAATGCATTGACACAACACTATCATTTTAAGGATGGATCAGTTACAAATCGACTTTTTTTTTTTTTTTTTTTTTTTTCCAAAGCCCACCGGGTTTATATAACCTTGTAGTTAGTAAAAAAGTGCTTAACTGTTCTGTTCTAAAAGAACAGTGCCCACATTCAATAAATATACTAGTGTATTTGTTTACTTCAAAAATTTTAAATGATCCCAGATTCAAAATTTCAAACAAAATAAGCCTTTTTATTTACAAGATTAAGTTCATATTTATGTAAAGGTTTTATTCTTTTTGGCATGAGCTGTACTTGTTATATTCATTTTAAATTTGAGGATATCAACAGTGAGGATTTATTTATTTTAAGTGGAACAAAGGTGAAGAATTGTTCATACCACTTTGAATGATCATATTTCTGCTGAGTTAACTTCTACATGCATGAAACTAAAGTTGATTAAAAACAACAATTTTCAAATGTTCTTGCGATTCATTTTACTTACAATCTGTAAGTTGAAATTTTTAAAAAATTCATTTTTTCATTTTATTTTTTAATAAATTAATCCCTTTCAGTTCCTTATGTGTGTCTTTTATGACTTGAAGAATAATTAGGGATTGAATAATTACTTCTGATTAGTTTTGTATGATTGTATGGTCCGTAAGGTAATAAAAACGTTTTGAGACCTTAAATATAACAAGAGTATACCATTAAAAATTAATAAACACAAATCAAGCTTCGCTTTCATGATTGCTCAAAAAAAGGTGTTCAGTACAATTATTGCTATGATGCCAAATTGTTTCTTCCGATCATTATTAACTTTTGTGTTTATGTACTTTACTGATTTTCAAATGTATATAACTTAGTTATCTGCATCAACATTAACTGGTTTTACTATAAAAGTAAAAAATCTTTTATTTAAAAGCTAATTGGATGTTATAATTAAATATAAATATCTAATTAACATTTATTTGATTAGGTATATTTTATTATTGTATTATCACTGAATATCCGGAGTATATGATAAAGATAGGGACATAATCAGTCATCAACCAAATTTCTATAATATATAACTATTCCTAGATCTATATAGATATATTGACATCTATTTGTTTAATAGATTTATTTACTATTTATTCAACTATTTATTAAGTAACGCCATCTAACTAGGTCAGGAACACATCCGAGGCATGGCTGATAGGCATCCCCTAAAGTTAAAAAAAAAAACTATTCCTCTTTTATTTCGATGTTTGCAAATATAATTAATAAAATACTCTATAATAATTTATAGGCTTGTGTTGGTTTCAAAGCAGAAAGTTACACATTAAAAAAATAATTTCTTTATCTTTAGATATGTAATCTCCCTCATCTTGTACAAATTTTAGTTTCATGAAGGCACTTTTTTAAAAATATTCTTCTTCAACATTATCCAAGTAACATTGATATAAATTTTTACCTTTTTAGCTAATTATCTAAAAAAAACGTTGGACTGGTTAATTGTTATTTCATGCACATTAATTATACATTATTATTTGATATTAAATTTTATTAACCCATATCCAATTTACATAACAACTATCGTCATCACATTTCATTGTCATTGAATTGCTTAAAAATGCAGTTATTATTTAAATAAAAAAATTTAAGCATGTGTTGCTTGTAGGGCAAACACGTAGCCTGAGGCTTTCCCAATTAAATAATCAATATTCAACCCCTTTCATATCAATGTTTTAAGCGATAAGATTGCAAGGGAATAAAGTAAGCTTAAAAATCAATATAACATGAATTTTGTATAATAGACAATGTATAAACTATTATGTTAGGGTATTTCATATATGTTACAAATTCCTGAATTGCATTTCAGAATGGAATGTTTGTCTATATACAAACATTTAATATAATTAACAGTTTAGTGCGCTTGTTTAACTACAAATTAAGGAGGAAAAATAAAATAAAATCCCTATGAAATGTATAATTGTTATGTAAATAATAATTTTATTTATTTAATTTTTTTTAAAGAACTTGGCCTGGTCTGGATGGGGGATATGCTCCTCCATAATGACCCAGGTGGTCTTATGATCAATTCTGCAATAGACCCTCATCGAGCAACATTTTTTACGGAGGCGCAACAGACGCTCGATGAAATGAGACAGTCAGCTCCAATGGTGGTTATCCTGTATTTTGTAAAATTAAGGCAGTCTTTTAAAATGAAACTGTTATTAGTATGTCCAAGATATGAACAACTTTATGATGCTAGACGACATAGAGGATCCCTACTTTGAAGATGACAGCGACAAGATCGAATGTGAAAGTCAAGTGTTGCAGTCTTCCATGGAAGAAGACACTAGACTTCCTACACCAATTGAAGTCCCATGCAGTAGGAAGATCAGGCCCGTTAAACATCCAGGGCTGAAGTTGCAGACACCAATCGCATACCAAAGAGATACAGATCCAAATGTCATACCTATAAAAAAGGATGGAATGGGTTAGAAATAATCATATTTTACCTTTGCGACTTGTATTTAATGTTTTGTTATTATTTTAGCGGTTTGTGAAAAATGTGGCGCAATAGGGGTTAAACATGCTTTTTATACGAAAGAGAGAAGGTTTTGCAGTTTAGCCTGTGCAAGGGGTTCGGCAGAAGGACCACCTCAACCGGCACCGCAAGAAGAAGATGATGATGTCTCAAGCCATGTAATACTTTTTGCTAACAATTAAAATGTCCAACAAAAAAAAAATCTGATTCATTTTTGTTATGCAGACTGAGAAGATGGCAGTTGATACGGAAGTCAGAATTAAAATACATGCAAATTTGCCTCCAGTTCCAGCTCCTCTTCCTGTGCCCGAGGACGATCCTCTATTCCCACCTGATAAAAAGACACTTCCTCACCTTGTAGGAACTTACGAGTGGATTGAACTGCTAGCTGATCCTCATTTCTCGGCCACATCCGTTTCTTCATTCACCCACGTAAGTTAAGCGGCATATTTGTCTCTTTATTCGTGAATAATTCATAATAAATCTTGGTACGCAGGCACCAATGTCGAATAATTGGGATAATATCACAGTCGGTATGAAGGTCGAGGTTGAAAATACAGACTGTGAGAGCTATTCTGATGTCATACCTGACTCTTTTTGGGTAGCGACGGTACTCAAAATCGCTGGTAAGTTAATTGTTATTATGTGATCTTTCTTCTCTGTTAATAACATGTCTGATATTATGGAATAACAATTTATTTGGAGAGAATGTTAAGCCAGTTGTAATATAAATTGTTAAAGTGTTTATGTGTAAATCCAAGTAATCAATAAATCTTCCTTCTCAAAATCAGTTCAATCTTTCTTCCTTCCTATACATTTTGGTTTTATTTGATCAAAATTAATTGGTTGAGTGTAGTAAACATGAAACAAAAAATATTATTGAAGCATTTAAAGAATATTATATCTTAGTTTTATTAGATTTATCTGGATTCCCCATGAAAATGAATTAATATAAGTAATCATGTTATCATCATATTCGTTCTGGTAATAAAAATCAAAACATTTTTTAGGTTATAAAGCATTATTGAGGTATGAAGGCTTTGGTCATAATGGGAGTAAAGATTTCTGGATTAATCTGTGCTCCTCTGTCGTTCACCCTGTCGGATGGTGTGCCAATAGAGGAAAACCCTTGATCCCTCCTAGAAGTAAGTGTTGCGTTTATATTATTGTGTATTATTTATTTATTTTTTATTCTTTTTATTTTAGCAATCGAAGATAAGTACAAAGACTGGAAACATTTCCTTGTGAAGAGACTGACAGGGGCACGGACATTACCTTCCAATTTCTACACAAAAGTTCACGAAAGTATGAAATCTCGGTTTAGATGCGATTTAAATTTGGAAGTAGTCGATAAAAATAGGATATCACAAGTGAAAGTAGCAACAATCAAACATATTGTCGGAAAACGGCTACATGTCCGATATTATGACGCTGACTCCTCTGATAATGGTGCGTTTAAATGAATTTGCCTTTTAGAGGTTTTTCTTTTGACATTTTTTTTTCAAAGGCTTCTGGGCTCATGAAGACTCTCCTCTAATACATCCTGTTGGTTGGGCCAAAAGAGTCGGCCAGACCTTAGCTGCGCCTCCTCATTACGTCGATCGTTGCCTGAAAGGCTTGAGGGACAAGGACGATGCCACAGAGGATCTATTCCCACTCTCCAACTCTCTACCGTACCACACTGGCTTCTGCCGGGGCATGAAGTTAGAAGCTGTCGACCCTTTGAATCTATCTACCATATGCGTATCAACTATAATGAAAGTAATATTATTTACTTAATCGAAAAATAATTAATTTTAATATAATGTATATTTTTTGTGGATTTAAGTAACTCAACAGTAGTTATACCGGATGCCCTAAGTCATAAGACATTCATCTGGCAATATTGAACACTTTATTACTTGAAACATGAGCTTTATTTGAATTGAAATAATTTATAGGAAATAAAACCTTAAAATTTTGTTTGTAAAAAAATAATTAAATCAATTAAAACAATAGCCAGAATAGCTGGAACACAATTTCAGCTAAGTTTTACAGTCGCTTTAAAGTGACTTCATATTCGCAAGAATTTTAGGTTATAATTTCTTTAAACTACCACTTTTTGAACATTTAAAAATAGTATTATTTCAGAAGCATTATATTTTAAAATATGGTTAGATTTTTATCTATGATTTTATGTGATTTCCTTTATATTTTTGTCACGTATATTACATTTCTACAATCAGATTTGTATTCTGTGGCCAAAATTAATTTTGCTCATTGGCTGTTTACAATTAGGTCTTAAACGAAGGTTACCTATTAATTCGAATCGACTCGTACGATGAAAACATTAATTCTCCCGGATCAGACTGGTTTTGTTACCACTCCTCATCAGCCTGCATACTTCCACCCGGCTTCTGTTTTCACAATGACATCACACTAACACCCCCGAAAGGCTATGAGGGCAAGTCATTCAGTTGGACTGAATATTTGAAGGAGACGGACAGTCGTGCAGCACCTGCCGAATTATTCGATATTGTAAGTTTTGATTTATTAAGTTTATATTAGTAGTTAATTATTTAACATTTTATTGTTAAATTTTTAAGGACCCTCCAGAGCATGGTTTCACCATTGGGCAGAGACTAGAATGTGCCGATTTAATGGATCCAAGACTCGTCTGCGTTGCAACGGTTGCACGACTGGTCGGCCGTCTCATCAAGGTAATGACTAATTATTTCTGTACTTTGTTCAACATAGAACAATAAGGGAACTATGAGTTTTGCCTATTTTTGTCGTTTTCCACGGTTATTGATATTTTATTTATACTATATATTCTATTTGCATGGACTAGGCTGAATAAACAGTTTATAACAAAAGAAACTATTAAAAAATGTATAAAAATAAAAAGAACAAAAAGAGTCAATAACGCAACACAAGCCACTGATGTCCGATTTTTGGTAAGATTGTATTACCCTCGTACAAATCTATCAGACACTACACAACGCTACCCTACTATACGTGATGCAACCAAGGTCCCCATCACAACCAGACACTCATATTTTTTGTTTATTTCAAACTATAAGTACTTTTGTAATTAATGTAAATTGTAATGTAAAATAATTGCAAATTAATTTTTCATAGTTTCTTCTTGCTGTGTGTCACATGTAATTATTACATATTGCAGGTTCATTTTGATGGGTGGGAGGATGAATACGACCAGTGGTTGGATGTACAATCTCCTGATATGTATCCAGTCGGCTGGTGCGAACTCGTCTCTCACAAATTGGAAGAACCACATTCTCCTCCAAAATTAAGTCCACAATCAATGAGTAAGTTTTTTTTTTAAATTTTCATAATTCTATTTATTAGGAAACCTTTCATAGTGATATTTGGAATTCTCCTTCACTTTGATTTTTTTTCTTTTACCATTTTTTTCATTAATTAACAAAACAGTAAGATAAGTTCTCTTGGGATAAATCAGCTGGAAGTTTGGTAAAAAAACAAGAGTGAACTCACATTTTCTTATTTGAAGAAGCAAAAGGTGAACGGACGGCAAAGAAAAGGAGAGGTAGGAGGCCAATGCAAAGGAAAATACCAGGTTTGAACGGAAAGCCTGAAAAAGATGAAAAGGAAACTGCTGAGCCCGATGATGAAATAAATAAACCAATAAATATTCTTCCGTCTGCCTCAGCCACCCCCTTGAATACTCCACCTCTCAACAGCCAGCCCACTAAAAGTGGTGAGTCGGCTTTTTAAAGTTTTACCTTTAAGCATGGCTACTTTACACTAATCACAACCAAACTGAAAAGTAAGGCGGAAACAGTGTACTTTTAAAAATAATTTTTAAACAAGGTAGTGAGCTTATTGTTTTTTTAAACACGGTTGTCTACTGCTTTTTATCTTGCTTGAGAACTTTACTTTCTTCACTGTTTTATTTGGAATTCATTTCTTTACATTTTCTTTCTTTCTGCCTATTTCATAGATTAGTTTTTAATTTTAAAAAATTATAATCAATTTTACAAGGGATGGTTGCGGTCTTTCAGAAATGTTAAAGCTATTTTAAAGTCATAACTTAAAAAAATAATAATAATAATTGTGTTTTGGATTGGTTATGCTCAAATCCATACATGCAAACATGTGCAGAGTTGAGCCTATTGCTTCTCGCAGTCCACCGACAATCCCAGTTTTTACAATTTACAATAAATTGCCGGCAGGCCTCGAGAATCAACTTACCCCGGGTGTTGGTGCTATCAACAACTAGATCAATTCAGGATCATCCAACGTAGTTCCAAACACATTCATTCATAAATACTTACAAATGGGATTTTTTTTTTCCAAAAACACCGACTCTCTGAGGGTTGTTATGACCACTGGTGTTGCAAACTCGCATAAAAAATAATAATATAAAAAATTAAGTCCTCATTTTCATACTATTTAGTTTAACAATTAAAATATTGATAGCAATATAAATGAAAGCAAACTAAATTACTCACCATTTTCAGTTTATCAGTATAATTATGTTACAATTCTAATTAAAAATAGTTTTCACATTTCTGAAAATGTCATTAACGAAAAAAATTCCCATTGTTCTTTGGAGTGCTACCATAACTTAAACCAACTGGCTACTTAATTGTATAAATTTTAATTTAATTGTAATCATTTTCAAGACAAGGATGAAGGACCTCCTAGGAAAAAACGAGGAAGGCCACCTGTCAAAAAGAAGCCGCAAGGTATCAACGGGGAAACGGGAAAAATGGAAAAGATGGACATTAGCCTGTCAGACATGGTGAAAGACGAGGAACGACTTTTATCCCAGATCAAGGAAACTGTGACAGCCTCGGTACCCACCAACCTCACGGGGAGCCAGCTAGCCAAGCCTTGTGGTAAATAATTTTAAAAAGATTAATTTTCAAAATCGTATGATTAATTGTTAAGCCTCTGCAGGAGAAATTAAAGACGAAAGTCCGGAAAGCATGTCAGTGGAAACTGGAGAAGACCCAGGCCACATGCAAGCCCTCCCTGAAGAACTGAACCTTAAATCTAATCAATTATTGCCTTCGAAGGTATTTATTATTTTCACTTGAATTGTAAATTACAAAAAAATACATACGTTAGCTATGTTTATATTTTGATATTGTATTGCTCACTTAAGGAGGATGAAATAGAAGCGGAGGATACAGTAAGTTATTTTGTAAAAGTTGATAACTGTAAATTTGCTTTCCTTTCAGTTAATTGTATTTTTTTCACTAGAGTTTCTTAGTTTAAAATTTAAATTTAAATTTTAGAAGGAGAACACATCAAAATTAATTCCAAGGCTGATAGATGCGACGGATATAGTGGAACTCTCTAAAATCGACCCAACCGAGTGGGATGAAAATGATGTCGGACAGTTCCTCTCAATAAACAATTGTGGCCCTTATCGAGAAAGTTTTACTTGCAAGGTAATTTATTGTTAATTTGGTTTATAATTGTAGTGAGTCCTGCTTGTCTGAACTAATTGAGATCCTGTTAAATAGAAAAGCAGGTTATTAAATGTACTCTGCTTATTAGCCAATGCCAGACAATAATGTTATGCGAATTCATTTTGGGGGGAAGGGTAGCGTGAAAAAAAGGCCAGAGGCAACGGCGAGAATTGAACCCATGACCGCAGGGTCTACGAGCCGAGAGTCTCTCATGCTAACCTACCGGCTACCGCGGCCCCCTAAAATTAATATGTAGACACACTTTATCAGATGATGCACAAACATGCATGTTGTAGTTGTGATTAAAACTGGCGAGGAGCCAAAATGCGTCTTACAAACCAAAATAATCAGAAACCAACGAACTGCAGGTAGTAGATTTTGAAGTGTTCCCGGTCAAAATAACACCATTAATGCCATCAAAATTTAACCGGAAAAAGCAAAACGTTTATTTAGTCAACTAAAAGGTTTCCATTTTGCCGATCGAAATAAGTTCAAATAAGGCGGCTTTTTGATTAGCGATGATGTGTAATTTGGTCGTTATTGATCATTTTGGTCTGCCTACCATCGCCGGGTTGCCTTGTCAGATGCGTTTCAACATTTTGCCATCTTCAATGTGTCATAAAGTTAACCCTGACACACCGTGACCTTATAAAGAGATTTGACTTTGACTTCACAGACACACTAAATATGGCGAAATAGTGAAACACGTCTGACAATCCAACCCCAATAGATCTTTTATATGAAATAATTAATTTTTTTTTTCCCTCTAGAAAATTGATGGCAAAGTTCTGCTGACACTAACAAAGGACCAGATAATAGATCTCACCGGAAAGAAGGTCGGACCGTCGCTTAAAATCTACGATTTGATACAGCAGCTGAAACTCAAAGTCAACCCGGCGCAGGAGAGAATCAGAGTCAAAAAGTTCTTTTAATATTCCAGCCTTAATTGTGACATTGCATACGCTTTAAACTCAAGTGGAAAACAAATTGATCAGAAAGCAAATCGAGTGGATTTTTAATCTGGTGGTTTGGTATTTTTTACGATTGGGTTTTGTTTGTTTTATTTTCTTTCTACAAAACGCAAACAATTTTTTTTCTCTTTTAAGTGTAATTAATGATTTCTGGTGACATATTTTTTTTACATTGTAAATAGTAGTAGTTTTCGGATTAATGTGCCTGAAAAGCAATATACATATTATTGTATATTTTTTAGATTTTAAAGCTCATCAATTTTGGTTCTTAATTGACAATTAAATATTAATCAAATTGTATTAGCCATGTAGTTAAAAATTCAAAACCCATTTTCCTTAATCAAATGAAAATATGTTTTTAAATTACTATAACTGATTTTTTCTTTTTTTTAGTGTATAAAATGAGTATATTAGGCTTAGATGAACCAATTTATATACGAACATGTCAGATTCATTAAATATTTCTTCAAACGTTCTAAAGTCATTGATAAAATGAAATATTTTTGTATAGATTATCTAACAGTTTTTCTCTGTTTTGCATTTTATCTATTAATTAATAATTATTTTTTAGAGCACTATATTTTAGAATAGGATGGACATTGTGAACAAAAAACAACAAACAAACTAACTTAAAAGAAAATAATTGAAATGAAAAGCCTTGGCTCTACCTCATAAATTTAATAACGTCGGAGCAATAAACCACCACTTTGCATAAGAAGCAATATTGTCAATGGTCTTACTAGAGTATAAATTATATTGGAAAGTATTCATCTTTGTTTTTCTTCAATCGCATTACGGTAGTGTTACAAAATACAATTACATCCCAGGTTATTTTATGCTTGTGAGTTTTTAAATTTTGTAAATAACTGACTTTTTAGTTGAGAAGTTTTGTTGTACATTCTAAAACAAACAACAAAATATGTTTGTTCTTTCGTTTCAATTAAATGAAAGGTTTTGAGGACAAACTAATTTTACTAAAATAATTTTTAAAAGTACTTTTGGTCTGACATAACATGAATTATAGAAACTAGTACCTTTTATAAGAGCTTTACCTAAACTTTTTTAACAATTATTGTATTTATTTTTTCTTAAAAAAATTGCTGTTCAATAATTTTTTGATGCCAGGAAACTATTTGTTGAGAAATCGTTGCAAGAGAGAATAACAGTTGTCTGTCAAAAATATCAGCCTGTCAATATAAAAAATAATTTTTGGGTTGTCTTAGCACTGAGTCTGCCTCATATGTTAGTGTCTTCCCTCCACTTTTCCTGACCAAATAAAAAAAATAGCAACCAAATAACTGGAGGGATAGCTGAATGATATCGTGCCTTAGGATGGACTGGAAATTAGTAGACTGAGGAAAATGATTCTTCCAAAATGCTAAACCTATTTAATTGATTTTAAACTAAAAGACCAAAAGTACGAATAAAACAGTCCTCATGCCTTGTCTTTTTGTAGGTTTTGTTCATAATCTAGGGAAGGCAAGAAAGAGGTTTGCTCTATTGTAAAATGTATTATAAAGAAAACTAATAAATATCGTTATGAAATGACAAAACATTCACAAGTGCATTTTTATTCTTAAATAATAAAAAATTTCTTTTATTTAATCAGCCAGTGAAATAGGCGATTGATTTTTCTTAAGCCTGTTCAGCGCTGATACCATTCAACGTAAGGATTCATAATCAGGTTTTTTATCATATGACATTTTGTATATGATGAAAAATCAATATTTACTTTTAGTTTCAGCTATTTAAACTGCAGACTTCATGGACTGAAAGTGGGGGTGCAGTTTTTCTTCAGTCAAAAACTACTTCTGGCAACTGTTGTTTCTAAAAAAAAAACCCTGGCCACTTTTTTGATTCTGAAAATAAGATAAGTGGACGTCTTCATTATATTTTTAATATAATCTCAAAAAAAGCATTGAAAAATCTCAAAAGACGTTTGACATCAGCGGTCGCTCCATGTGGACAGAAGATCCTCGAAAAAAGTTTTATGATTTTTTATTTTTCAATTATCGAATATCACAATAAAAGGGATGTTATTTCATGACAGAAATTTCTCAGGGAAAATATTGTTTATTGTAGTGTTAACACACTGAAAGCGATGTATCGGGGAGATCTAGTTGTACTACGCATTTGCATCATCCCTGATAAGACAATAATCCATTACTTCAAGCCTGATTTTGTTGCGATGACAACTGATCCAGCTGTACAAAATCATATTGCCTAGAGATCGCCTTACCTCCTTTGGTCTCTGCAGGACATTTGTGTTTAAACTTTGTTAAAATGAGTGAAATTAAATAATTAAGTGGTGGTATTCTAATTTTTATTAATTCATTTCAAGCTCACAATATTTCTTTGAATCTTGCAACGCTAATAGCAGGAAGAGTGGTTCTTTGGACAAACTCATACTAAAAAAAGTGTTGCGAAAACTATGATTTATAGAAAAAGTGATTAGTGTAGTACTCTTCCTAAAAATTGTAATTTTTTAAAATTATTGTAGTTGATTCCACACAGTTGATTTTTTTTTTTTCTTTCCTAATAAAGTTTTCTTTTTCTTTTTTAAATTAGGGTTATTCCAAGAAACAGGGTTTTTTTTTGCTATTTTTCACCCATCAAATCACAAACATCATTAGTACAAGTCAGAGCAATAGTAAAATAATATCATGTCTATAAATGTGTGGTGGTTAGTGACCGTTAATCGATAATTATTCAGAAATCATGAGACCAGACCGCATCTCACGATTTCTGAATAATTATCATTTGTATAGTTTACATTTTTATCTGTTATTTTATGGTTCATGGTGGTTTATAGATAAAAACGTAAACTACGTAAATGATATTATTTTACTATTGCTATAACTTGTAATAATTGTGACTGTACTTCTTGTTACAGTTTTCTGTCGATAGGGGCAAAATAGCTTGAAGCGAGAGGAAAAAAAGAAAAACGTGAAATAACCTAACCTTTTCTTTAATTAAAAGAAAAGGTGTTTTTTGGTATAACTCCAATATTTAAAAAAAAATCTTTTTAGGGAGAGGAAAAAAGGAATAAATATGTATAATTGTAATTGTATGTCAGATAATAATATGTCAGATCTTACCCCAGAACCTCAGGTGTCTGGTTTAGATCTGTCAGTCATTTATGAAAAGTCTGAATATAAATAATTGTTTTAAATGTATTGTTAAATTCTAAATCTTACCCTTGTTTTAGCATTGAAATTTTGGATTGTAATTTTTTTCAAATTTGTTAAATGTATGCGATAAATCTGGCTTAGGTCGGACGTTTAACACATTGACTGCAGATTACAATTTGATGTCATCAAGCTCTCATTTTTTTCAAATCTCTCACAAAATATTTACCTGTTAAATAAGTCAAATAAAATCTCCCCTACAGTGAAAGTGTTAATAGTTAGCAAAATAGTTCTTATTGTATTAAGCTCTGTCCGATATCAATTGAACATTGTTTTATTGTTTTAAACATATTTAATTGTAAATTTAACCCTTGCTTGAAATTGTTAATCAGATCTGGGTGGGGTAGATGTCTAGCCTGCAAAGCCAAAAAAAATAAATAAATAAATAAAAATAATAATAAAAAAAGATCCTGTGGGTGTCTGACTTAGATCTGACTTCTGTTTAGGCAATAATAGTTTTTTTACAGTATAATGATTTTATTTCAACTGTATTTTATTATTTTATGTGTATGGTATAATTGTAAATTTTGCCATGGCTACAAACTATAATTGCATGAATGTCAGATGCAAGTTCAGATGTCAGATGCGCTTTATTTTATTTTATTATTTATTTATGTTTTATTGTACTTATTGTTAAATTGTAAATTGTATCCTGGCTTTAAATTGTTGAAAACAGCTTGTAATTTTGTTCACTTCTTAAATGAATGCATTGAACTTATCAGATCACTCGGAAGGAATGACGTCTGGCATTTATCTGACGGTTGTTTATGCAATAATAGTTTTAATGATTTCAGTTCAACATATTTTATTGTTTTAAGTGTATGATTTAATTGTTAAATCTTATCCTTGCTACAAATTATAATTGCATAAATGTCTCAGATGCAAATTCAGAAATGAGTTTGCTTAGTTATGAAATTTTTGTATGAGAACATGTATAAATGAATATTCTCGAATTGAATTGTACCTTATTTTATTAATATTGTATTTTATTTTTGTTTAATTTTTTAGTGGACATATTGTTAAATTGTAAATTGTACCCTCGCTTTAAATTGTCGAAAGTTTAGCTTGTAAACTTTTTTATGTTGTTTTTCTAAATCTCGTTTTAATTTTTGCTTTTTTCAATTAATTTTAATTGATTATTGTTTTAAAAGAAACCATATTGAATGTTTTATAATGGTTTTTTTTCTTTTTTTAAATCACCAGAGACAGTTATTTTTGTCGGTTTCAGTTGGTACCAATGGGCGTCGTGAGGTAGCGCTGACATGAACGTTGTAAGCTTCTGTCAAAAACGCCGGTTTGACGGTTTAAAAGGTATTTCAAATAAATTTTTCGCCCTTAATAGCTTTTTTAACCGATTTAGGACTATTTTAAAAGATAATTTCGATTAAATAACATAAAACATTAAAATTAGAGGAGTGTGTTAAAAGGCAACAACGTGGTTAAAGTAGTTCCTCGATAGAAGTGGAAAACGAACGATTAAACAAAGAGCAAGGGTTGATTTACAATTGAAAACGTAAAATTAATGAATAAACGAGGTAGAACGTTTGTAAATTGTTAATAAATTTGTAGCAAGGTGGATAATTAAATATGATTGTGGGAGGGCGCGGATGTATACCAGGGTGACGTGCCCGTCGGAGGAGGGGGTTTTCAGCTGTTTCGGTTTCCCGCCAACGACCCGGCCGCCATAACAAAACGCAACGAGGGGTCGTACGTATGTCCTCCTGCTCTGCGGACCTCTGTGTACACTGTTGGAAGTGATATTAGCATTTTTCTACGGTATCCGTGCTATCGGGCACTTTTTGTTTTGTTTATTTTAATTTGCCACTACGGACAGTCGACCGGAACCAGGGCCGTGAGTGCGGGCTTCTATTTATCGAAGACACGTGAAATGGCGTCTCTTGGGAGGGAGGAGAAAATACGAATCGAGGATATCCACCAGTACGAAGAGGACATCTCGAGCTACTGCAGGTAAATGATTTTTTTTTCCTTATTAATTCTTCTATTTTTGAGTTTTTTGCCCTTTATACGTGGAAAAAACGAGCCGGCCCACCCCCGTTTGCCGGCACCCTTTAGGCTCGAACACATGTTTTTGTCCCTAACGGTTTGAAAACAAAAATCATATGGTCTCCCGTTTGAAAACATGGATGGAGCTCTTGATAAACCGCCTGATGACAATTTGGCTGACTTTTTATCCTGCCTCGTCATACAGTTGACCGATGGTGCTGTCCCGTCAAAACGTGCCGTTCAACGCCGGTATGTCAGCTGTTTTATTTTTTTTAAACAATTTTTTTATAAAAAAAAAATTCTATTTTGGAAAATAGGCTGTGGGAACTGGGACCCGCTCAAATGTCAACCGGTCCCCTTAACCCTTACAAAACCCTAGCCCTAGATCCCATAGGGATAAGTACACAGACAGCCAAGAATGCAATAAAAATAAAATAAAACCAACTGGGTATTAAAAATATTACATGTTGACTCAACTCCGATATACTTGCTAGCATTCACACGATAAAAAGAACAATTCTGCTTTTTCAGCAGACCGACTAAAACTAAGGGAATTGTGATCATAGCTGACTTATTTATTTATTTTATTTTTTAAAAATCAACCCCCTCCGGGCTTTCTGTTTGTTCCACTTCGGTTAATTTTTAATTGTTCCTAAATCAGTGTTATTTATTTTTCATTTTATCCAATTTCTTATTTCCTTCCTAACAGAAACAGTAGAAAATATTTCAAATATTTTTTGTTTGTTTACTTCCAATCAAAAAATTAATTTCGACCTAAATGAGCGTTATTTTATTAATTAATTTTTCTTTGTATTCCAATTTTTTATTAACTTGGGTTATAAGCGAATGAGTACCAATAATCAAATCAGATCTATTTTTTAAAAAAAAATGCTAAATTCCGCTCTGATAGACACATAAACGTATATACATAATTGATAAGTCGCAGGTTTCTCAATACGAAAATATAAACAAGAACAGTAGAAAATATTTCAAATACTTTCTGTTTGTTTACTAGTAAAAAAAATCTTCTGAGATCAGTGCTGTTTATTTATATATATATATATTTTTTTATCGTTTCCAATTTTTTACGTTCCTTAAGACTATAAGCGAATGGGTCAATTATGATTAAAACTGACTTAATTTTTTGCAAAAGAATTCAAATCCGTCCTCAGACTCATAAAGGATATCAAAAATTGTCTATTTACAATTTTTCAACACGGAAATATAAACAACAGTAGAAAATATTTCGAAAACTTTCTGTTTGTTTACCACTTTGCTGTGAAATAAAAATTCTTCCTAGATCATTCATCCCTAAATCATATTTTTTTAAACGTTTTCAAATTCTGTGTCGTAATACTATGAGCGAATCATTCCATAATGATCAAATCTTACTTATTTTTAAAAAGACAATTCCAAATACACCCTGATAGTATTTAATGCACACGAGTGGATATCAGTAATTGACTATTTCCAGTTTTATCTATACTAAATATTTCAAATACTTTCTGTTTGTTTACACAGCTTGCTGTCAATTCTTATGTGTCCTTGGACTGTAATGGAATGAGTCGATTATGATCAACTCTGACATATTTTGTTTAAAAGAAAGTAAATTCGTCCCAAGACACATGAACGGATTATCATAAATTGGCTATTTATAGTTTTATCAATACGAAAATATAAACAACAACACAAGAAAATATTTCAAATATTTAAAAAAATCAAATACTAAACCTTTCTTCTTATAGTAGTCTTATTTATTTTTATTTTTATTTTTAACTTTCTGTGTCTTTTAGAAATAAACACATATAACACACTTCCTTGTTTGCAAATGAAAATATTTAGGGCGAAAGGATGAATTTAAAATCAGTAGATGATTTAAGAGAAAATATAGACCGTATTTTTCCTTTATTTANTTTTTTTTTTTTTTTTTTTTTCATAAGCGTTTAACAATACTGTGGTTCACAATCTGTCTCACTCGAAAATTGATTTCACGATTGATACAGTTTAACAGTTTATTCATTTATATTTGTGTAACAAAAATATATAAAATATGTTGGAAATGTTTGATCAGAAAAGTAAATTGAAGAAGGTGCGAAGCGAGGTTCTATTGCATTTGTTTTTAATTTATTGTTTGACTTGTTTAACCCTAATTTTCCGGCTCTTAATAATTTATTAAAAAATTCAGTTATTTTGGAATTGTTTTGTTTGAAATTTGTTTCCAAAATATTGTTACGGCGCTTCTACTTAAGGAAGTTTAGACTGCCTCCATTGTAATTTTTATTTTTATTTTTTAAATTCTAATAAAGTTTAAATTAACCGTCAATTTCGGGATTTTTTGTTTGCTTGCAAATGGTGGAGGGAGGGTCTTTATTTATTTTATGTGTTAGGCAGAAATTTTTCTCCCTTTATTGTGTCGTGTACTGTCTTCGGCTGTTCATTTCAAACTTACAGGTACGATTCTATTTTTAATGATTCAACAGCTTAACCCTAATATGCAAATTATGAAATCTTTTGACTTTTATTAATTAAAAAAATTACTTCGTTTTGGAAGTTTCATTATCACAGTTTTTAAATGCCCTTCACACTGCTTACCCCCTCTGTAAGCAAGGAAAATAAGGACGTTTCTACTATTCTCATTGTAATTAAATTTGTTTTAAAGTTTTTTTTTTTTATTATGTTGATCCATGTTAATGTTTTTTTTGTGTATTTCTTGTGCTTGGTAGACATTTCGCCCCCTTTAAATAGTTTAATACTACTGTCTACACCACAAATAGATTTATTTTTTATGTACATTGTACGATTCCATTTGTTTATGAATTATTCAACAGTTTAACCCTAATATGAATTGTGAAGTCTGTCGACCCTTAATAATTTTATCAATATCTTGGTTTAAATTATTTTAAATGATTCGATATAAGTTCCGACTATTTTCCTTGTAATTTTTTTTTTTTTTTTTTTTTTTTTTTTTTTTTTATTTTTTTTTTTATTTTTTTAATTTTACTGGCGAGATTTTTGTTGTCGGCATGATCCTTTTGTGTATATTTTATGTGCTTGGTAAATATACAATTTCCCCTTTCTTATACTGTCTCTGGGATAAATACGTTTATATATTTATGTTTATATTTCTGTATTTGACTTTGTGCGATGGATTATTATGTTTATTATAAATTCATTTAATAGTTCAATTTTAGTATGCGAATTGTGAAGTCTGTAGAAGGCAATAAGAACTTATTACTATTTTTGTTTACATTTTATGTGCTAGGTGGACATTCTTCCTCATTTGCAGTGTAAGGATAAATACATTTATATATTCATTTGTTTTTGACGTATAAGGTTCGATTGATATAAGGTTGATATTGAGGTTATTTTTAGCTGATTAAGTTGATACTGAGATTATTAATTTTGTTGGGTAATTGATTTGATTGATTAAAGTTTCATTGTTTCAATTTTTAAATTACTTGCTTCTTCACATTGCTTACACACTACGTATCATAAATAAGGACGTTTATACTATTTTTATTGTTACACATTAAAAAAAATTCTCTTTATTTTTGGCTCTTCTTCTTTTTTGCATGAATTGTGGGTTTTTTTTCCCCATAGTATCTATACTTTATGTGCTTGGTAGACATTTTTCCTCTTTAAAAAGTCTTACACTGTCTAAAGGTCAAATAGATTTATATTTTGCTATTTATTTTTCGTGTATAAAATACGATAGTTTTTTATTTATTTATTAAATTTATTAACGATAGTTTTTTATTTATTTTTTAATGATTTAAGATTTAATCCTTGGTATGCAATTGTGAAGTCCGAGGGCTCTTCAGTAGTTAAAAATCCATCGTGAAATTTTAATTTACATATTTTGAAAGTATCATTATTCTATTAAAAAGTTCCTTTACCTTAATTTTGCTTCCACATTCTGTAGGAATAACAAGTACGTTTCGACGTTTTTGTTGCAATTTTAAATTGGACTCTTTTTTTTATTGTAATAACTTTTTATAAAGTTGTTATTAAAAGCTTTAATTTAGGATTTAATGTTTATTTTCTTTGGAGACATTTTCTAATGGTTATATTTTATGTGCTAGGTACATTTTCTCCCTTAAATTATCTTAAGATGTCTGCAGGTAAATATTATTCTTTCTCTCCCTCCCTCCCTCCGCTCACTCTCTCAGGTGTATCAAAACTATTCATTTGTGTAAATGTGTACAAAATTAAATGACAAACGGTTTCACACATAAATGAATGAAGGCTCAATTTAATTGTCATACACGTGAACTATTTATTTTTATTTGTAGTCTATATTTTTCCTAGTGGACACGGCAAATTCCACACATACGGGAAAATGGTTTTTTCTTCTACGATAAAATATCGTAATAGGTGCGATAAGTGTTATCTGGCGTAAAATCAATAAAAGAAAACATTTAATAAATTGCAAGCCCTTAAAACACAAATTCACACATTACATTATGTACCCACGTTCAGTGGTAAGAGTTGATTTTGCCTGTTCCCTGCACTTTGGCCTTGCACGTTTCAGTCGTTTTTCTTTCTTCGATGAAAAGCGACGAATCTGAAGTTTTTAGGTTCGTGAATATTGTCGATTATATATAATACATATTTAATTGTTATAATTTACCATTATTTTTTGTTAAAAGTTAGAGATTATGATGTTGGCCCCGTACTATAACCTTTTATAGGAACTTAACTACTTGCTTTTATTCAAATCGCTGATCCAATACACACTTAATAAAATAAATCTAATCTGTACAGTAATTTTTGAAGAAAAAACATTGAATCTGTACTTGCATAAGTGTGTGATGTAACTACTGTTCAATTTATTGTGTTCATTTTGCTTTTGGGTTTAATTTAACATTAATTGTAATCTTGTTATGATTTAATAATTGTGACAATGATGTCAGACTAGTTTTAAGAATAGCGAATCTGTTTGTAAATATATGTTGGGCCTGAAA